AGATTCTCTGGTCATTGGGCGTTCTAATGCTCTAGCATTGCGCAACCGGTTCGTTGTCCTCTCGATTGCGATCGGGACTATTAGCAGTTGCGGAATGACTTTCATGGATAATATTGCGGAATATGTTCATTCCTCTGCGTCTTGGAATTCAGCTGAGAGTCTTCTCGCGCAGTCGTATAGCGACCAGTAAGCTATTCAGGAAGGAATATGGCCAAGAGACTGGGATGACCATTTCTGGGATACTCACCGTCCTCTGTGAGCTTCATATAATTGCAGGTTTAGATAACTTGTGATTCAACTGACCCTCTCAGTCTCCTTTCTCTTTGTCGGTATCTCTTCTTGCGCATATATTAATGGTCACAATGGGACTCACTGCCTGTGAGGAATTTACAATAAGCTCCAAGGTGACCTACATAATTGCAGTCTACCATAGGGCGTTTCTGGTCGCCAATCGTCTGGTTTCATTGCTACGGAAATCCGAGCAGCATTTTTATGGCCAGGAGAACACAACCCTTAATTCCGAAGGAAGCCAAAAGACGGTGTTTTCATGGAGAGGAGAGCGGAGTTTCGGGCAGGAAGGAGATTTTTAATACAATGACAGGGAAGACTGCGTTGGCCGGTCCTGGCTTGTCAACCATCTTCGGCTTTACATACTCGAACATCAGGTGTGCAGCAGCAATTTAGTCAGTCAGTGAGGTCCGGATGCAGGTCCCTTTGGAGTGAAGATGAGAGTCGACTTTGCCTATGTATGTAAGAAAAAAGGACATTTGCGAGTTATTATTAACTCGGAGCGTCCAAATGGAACTGTGGAACTGTCCGTGAACAAAACGTGCGAAGCCGCGTGGGAGGTATGGTAAATTGCCCCACCCCATCTGACTATTGAGCCAAATATGCTGATTTGCCAGGGGCATATCGATTAGTTTTAAGCACTGGAATGGGAGCACGCAGATTTTATTGGCGTTTCAGAAGAGGTGTTGATTTCATACGCCATCGTCAGGCCTATACGTCTGCCTCGTATAACCGTGCCGGACATGTGAACTTTTGCCTGTCCGCTTGCCGGCTCATGTGACCTCTGTTATGCTTATAGCTGCATATTCAGGGTGCCTGTCATTCGGTGGACGCATCAGTGGTCGCTGTTCATACGAAATACTATGTGTGCAGGTGTTCGATGCTAATCACCTGACCTTTGGATGACTCGTAGCTTCTTGCTAAAGCGTCAGATTTAATAAAGCTCCATGGGCAAAGAGCCTGGGTTTGAGAAACAGGCTGCACAAATCTAGTTGGCTGACGACAGCTCTTAAGCCAAAAAGTCGCCATTCAAGTGCCCTTTGTCTTTGCCAGTAGTCTCCTGCATATAGTGCTAGATGCTGTGTTACTATCAAGGAAAGCTCTAGATTGAGCGCCAAAGCACAAGGAGGCGAGTATATGCCGTAAAGGGACCGGTAAGCGTTCATCTACTACAGTGGTCGCCGCTGACCACGTAATTTTCCTTAATTTGTATAAGTTTG